GCTGGTTTCCTGTGGTGATCTGTGGACTCTTCTAAATCTCAGAGTTTCCCTAGGGAATCTCTCTAACTTAAAAATAATAACTCTGTGCCTACTTTTGGTATCTGTGAATTCAACAGTTATATTGTAACAGGAGAATATAGTCTGTCCTATAGCAACAAACAGCCTGTGCCTTAAAGACAAGAAATGTCTCTGACAGGGGTTCCTGCACCAGAGTTCTGATGACACTCAGTAATCACTCTCTGATCACACTCACGGTGAAGGTAAAGGTCGCTACTAAGTGTTGGACGACATGCTGAAAGTTTGACAGTATATTCTTCCATCACCCTTTGTGAGGACAATCATTTGGTCAAAATGTAGACGGTCAGCCTATTTTTATTGAATTGCTTCTTTAAATGACACATACTTTTTTGGTTTTGCTGTTTGGTTATGTTGTTTTTCCTAACCATGGTGGCCTGGTATTTTTTTTTACTTTTCTGTAATCCCATCTGCAAACCCATAAACTCATCAATTGTGTTTTATTAACGTGGTGCTAATATTTTCTATCTCTTTATCCTCCTGAACCTTTAGACCACGATTGTCAAGACAGACACTAAGTTGTCTGTGCAAATTCAGGATTCAGGGAGATCTCTACGGCTGGATGGTATCATACAGTTCTTCATGTCGCATGTTGTATCTTAATCTTCACAGTCACACAGAATGTGAGCCCTCTGTTTCTGTTTTCACTCAGAGGTTCCACATTTGTCCTGTTAATCTCTTCATCCTACTTCTGGTGGCTTTGCTCCTATTTTATTGAATGACATCACTAACATTTCCATTATCTAGTGACACACAACCTTAGGTGGGGAATTTCAGATATTTCAGTATAAGGTTCAATACAAGAATGAAGATTAGGTGTAAATAACATTATTAATGATGGCTTTCTGGATAGGAAATACCTTTCTGTGTCACAGGTAATTTGCTTTAGGGTGACACGCTGTCTTTCCACACTGGAATGACTCTTGTGTAAACATAGCAGTGTTGTTGTTGAAGGAAAGGTCTTCTTTCGTAGTGATTCGCAAATGTCATTCCTATTGGGAAAAATATATATAAATTATCTATGGTGTGGGAGGGAGGGAAGGTGGGGGATGGAGGGGTAAAATGAAGAACTGATACCCATGGCCCAAGTAGAAAGAAAATGTTTTGAGAATGGTAATGCCAGCAGATATACAAATGTGCTTGACACAATGGTTTGGATGGATGGATGGAGGAATGGATGGATGGAGGGATGGAGGGATGGATGGATGGACGGATTGTGATAAGAGTTGTATGAGCCCCCAATAAAATGACTTAAATCCATTACTATTTAGAGCATACATTAAATGGGAGCCACTTTGGGCTGAATTCAATGAGATTGCTAGATTTAGCTGATCTTTGAACTTTTGAATATCTAATAATATTACCATAATCTAATGCAGAAAAGAAAATATGTATCTGACAATATAAATGTCCTAGGATTTGCTGTGAGTGTCTTATAAATATATAACTCCCTGAGAGTAGAGGATCACTGCCTTTATTCCTAAACTCATTCTCAATCCTAAGCCATGTCTATCCCGTCAACTATCTTCCTAATCACTTTCTGTGGCCTGGAAAAACTGGGCCTTGATCTTGGTGAGTGGAGAAGTCATGGAAAAACCTGTGTTCTCTGAGGAAACAGTCAACATCCTCATTCCAGATGAACTCCTTTTTAACTTTAGTACAAAAGTACCATCACCTGCATATCTCCACATAGTCCATCAGATGGAATTTCATAATATATTATTTAGTTTATGTCTTACTCATTCTGGATAATAC